TCTGTGTCTCTTTCTGAGACTCCATCTCTGTCTCTCTCTCTGTCTCTCTCTCTCTCCCCTTCTCATTCACTGTTTCTCTGTGTTTTCCTGTCTCTAAGTCCCCCCCTTCTCCCTGCCCCTGGATATCGTCCCCCCTGTCCGGGAGCTCTCCCCTGCAAGTGCCAAGCCCTCACTCCCCGGGTTTCGGGAGAGGCAGGCTGTGCAGGGCCAGCTCCAGGTTGGGCCTTTGCCTGCGCCTGACTGTTGGGGGAAGAAGGCCAGTTCTGGGCCCCAGCAAGGGGAACCCCGCCCTCCCCCCAGAGCACAGCGGGCCTGTGCTGACGCGGTTGCCAGGAGCCGGCCACTGCCCGGTGTCTGCCTGTGTCAGGATGATGGGTCCCCGGTGGGAGCTGAGCCAGGGCAGGAGGGGAGGGTGATTCCTCTACCCCAGGGTGGGGCTCGGGGCAGTCCCGGCTCCACTCAGAAGCTGGGTATTTGACTACCCTACGCTCCCCCCCACCGCATCCTCCCCCCCCCCTCGCCAGGGTGGAGCCGCTGTATAAAACCAGATGCTTCTAAAACCAGAATGTGGATACGGGAGGAGGGACCAGGGCTTTAACTCCAATGGTTTCCTCCTCTAGGGTCCAGGAATCCAGGCCCCCAGCCCCTCCTCCCTTAGACCCAGGAGTCCGGACCCCCAGCCCCTCCGCCCTCAGACCCAGGAGTCCAGGCCCCCATCCCCTCCTCCCTCAGACCCAGGAGTCCAGGCCCCCAGCCCCTCCTCCCTCAGACCCAGGACTCCAGGCCCCCAGCCCCTCCTCCCTCAGACCCAGGATGCCACGCCCTCTCCACCTTTGGGACTCAGACTTCCAGGACTCAGATATCTGCTCCCCAACTTCTCTCCTCCACACACAACCACCTCTCTATTTCCCCAGGATGTTCTTTCGATGGTACTTCAGTGGCAACTAACAAAGGTATCTTTCTGTTGTCCAGACCCCCAGCCCCTCCGCCCTCAGACCCAGGAATCCAGACCCCCAGCCCCTCCTCCCTCAGACCCAGGACTCCACACCCTCTCCATCTTTGGGACTCAGACTTCCGGGACTTAGATATCTGCTCCCCAACTTCTCTCCTCCACACACAACCACCTCTCTATTTCCCCAGGATGTTCTTTCGATGGTACTTCAGTGGCAACTAATAAAGGTATCTTTCTGTTCCCTATCCTGTTTCCATCCCTAAAATAAAGAATATATTTGAACGCTACCAATGCTTTCATCTTTGAAGGTGGTTACTGCCCATTTAGGTAGGAGGAGGGGCAGCATGCCCCAGATATGCCCTGGGGACTGTGCCTCCAGAATGACTGTAATATTATCACCTGTCACCATGCAGCCCTGTGGTCAGGGTTTTAGGCGTAAGCCCGACCAACCCCAGATTTCTGGCAGCCTCCTTGCCATTCCCGAGGGCAGAAGACACCTTCAGCAAGATTTTTCTCACCCCTGCAGGACCGGGGTACATGCTGCTTCCTGCTTAAAATAACGTTTTCTCCCTTTTTTGTCCAATTAACTTGGTTCTGATTCCCCCCATACAGGCTTTACATGTACAGTAAAACCTCGAAATTACAGACTAATTTGGGCCAGGGAGTGTCTGTTAAAGCCGAAAGTCCATTATATAGTAAAGTGGGTTTTTCTGAATGCATATGTTAAAGAATTGACAGATTAGTTTACCTGTTTTTACTTATGTTGACACATTTTTGTAATTAAAATTAAGTATGTATGAAAAGTTCAGTTTCAGCCCTAACCGGTTTTGCTCAGTGGATAGAGCGTCGGCCTGCGGACTCAAGGGTCCCAGGTTCGATTCCGGTCAAGGGCATGTACCTTGGTTGCAGGCACATCCCCAGTAGGTGGTGTGCAGGAGGCAGCTCATCGATGTTTTT